ATTCTTCTTGAACAAACTCGATCAATTTTCAGAGATGTGTTAGAATGAGGCTATCATCTTTACGCGAGAAGGCGTTTCGCCTCAAGCACATCCCTCATGGCAGCCTTGAAACGCAGTTGAGACGATGTCTGACCACCATCGACATAACGCTGCTTGGCATCGGCCATATGATTGGAGCTGGAATCTATGTTCTTACAGGTGCACAAGACGACTTTTCACTAAAAGCCTTTTGTTTAAAGAACTGAGAGCGAGATATGTACGTCGTGTAAAACTTTTGTGTTACTTTCCTACTTTGCCATAGAGAAGGTTTGTTAGAACTAGGGAAGGCACTCAGTTTTTAACTATTAGTTTTGTACAGGTGATTATGCCAATTTACTCTTTCTTAGACGTCATTTAGTTTGCGCCGTTCTTTTCAAAGTCAAAAATGTTTTTAAAAAATCGGAAATTTTGGCAGCACCTTGTGCAATCGAAGGGAGAGGCCTCTCCCTACAAAACAGTATGCATGGCTTGTTCAAAAATTTCGATTTAGTTAAGTAGAAATGGTTGAAATGTATTTTTAAAAGGCCAAAAGGAGTCAAGTGAAAGCATGAAGGAAGCATTATGAATGGATATGACTGTAATCAGCATGGCGTTTAACCTCAGTAGACCACTTTGCAAGCCCTTCACCCTGAGCGTACACCTACCGCAATCCTGCAATAAGCTTATCGTGTTAATGGCTATGATTCGTAATCTGCGTAGCCATTCACCTCTGCGTAGCATTCTTGTAATTTTCGAGTTCCTCTTAAGAGAATACTTGAATGATCACTTTTAGTTCAACAAAATCGGGATCTTTGAACAAGCCAAGTATATTATTTTGTAGAACGAGACTTTCACTTTTGAATGCCATTCAATAACCTGTCAAAACTTTCAATATCTTCATTTGCCTTTTCGGCTTTAAGCACGAGCTTATCCAACAACCCAATATTATTTCCCATGGAGAACGACAGTGTCAATATCAGTTAGTCCTAATCTCCTTGATCGCATATAAGGCATGGATAACAGCCTGCAAAAGTCATTCTGTTATCTCTCTAACACTTTCTTCAGCTATTTTTTGCTCATCTAAGTATTTTTCCGCCATAGTGAGAGTCTTATACAGTTTGAGCATGTGAACTCAGTTCATTGGAACTGAGTAAACACTTTATGAGAACTTGAAAACGTCTTTTTCTGTTTTGAAAGCCATAGTCAGAAATCTGATAAAAGATGTAATTTCAAGCGGAGTTCAAGTTTATCGTGGTAATGCTGTTGTATCCAAAATAGCCTAAATGCTCAAAAAATTGTCACCGAAAAGGTCCAATCAATAGAATGAAAATATGAAACATTATAATGACTAGATAAGCTCATTTACCGAACCTACGGATTATTTCAACCACGCACCTTTTGTTTTGGCGCTCATGAAAAACAATAGGAAAAAATTGTATAGTATCAGGGACAATCCGTATGAAGTGCACATTGATTTAGGTGCTGTGGTGCGTAACACTGCTGGCCCATCAATAGTACTTTCGTTTTTGCTTGCTGGTGTTGCATCTCTGCTGTCCGCTCTCTGCTATGCTGAATTCGGCGCAAGGTAAGTCGTATTCTTATCGAATTCATTTCGACAGATCTTTTGTGGAGTTTTTGCTCACAATTCATTTCATGGAAGGAGAAGAAGGAGCTAATTTGCATGCTTCGAAAATTATTCTTAATTTTGTAGCTGATTGCGCACTCAAAAAAAAATTGAATTATTTATAGTGCTTTACTTTTTCTTCGAGGCCAGTGTGTACTTCGGGCTGGCTATGAATTATCGACTAACTAGATGGAACTTCTTCGAATTATTTAAAAGTGTATTCTTGTTTTTTGATTTTTTTGGAGATCGAATATTTGGAATCCAGGTTCATTCAACAATTTGCATATACCATATCTTTAACTGTCAAAATATTAAAAATTTCAAGTATCCGACGAGTT